TTTATCGGGGGTCCCGAGGAGGCTCGGGCAAAAGAAAGTTATTTGGGCCTTGTGGGCCTGTCCAGCAAAAAAAGAAGGAAAAAAAAAGTCACAGTGGGGGAAGGAAGGATTATGATTATCTAAAACCCATCACCACACACACAAACACAGACCAGATGAACGAAATACTGTACATATTATCGGTGCGATGCGCGGTGCGGTGCGCAAGGTGCACCAGACGTGCGCTGAGGCGCGCACCTCGATGCGCCGCAACTATGGTACATATTAGCACAGTAAGCATAGCCACACAGAGACCTGCAGTCTATAAAAAGGATTATGATTATCAGTTAACCTTTGTGGGATGATGATTATCGGTTTAGGGTTTGTTAAACTTTGTTTCCCTTTCAAGACTGCTAAGTCGCTAACTCATCCTTTAACTCTGTCATTATTAGGCGGTCAAAGTCAGAGCGGGGCCCAAAGTGGGTCAGCGTTTGGAAGTGGTACGCAGTTTGCAAGTGCCCGCATTTTCACTGTCCAAGAGCTCAGCAGTGCATGCAATGATTTTGCTCCTGCATATGAAGTAGGAGTTGGAGGTCATGCAAGGGTATACAGAGGATATATCCCTCCGTATGGGGACGTGGCAATCAAGCGCGCGAAGCTTCGGGCAATGCAGGGGAGGGAGTTCCAAAATGAGGTACGTCGATTTGCTGAATTCCCTCCTGAAACCGCATCCATCTCTCTCTCTCTTTTCTTTTTTTTTTCTCTCTCTCTCTTTTCTTTTTTTTTTCTCTCTCTCTCTTTTTCTTTTTTCTTTGTTCTTTTTTTAACTGCAAATCAAGTGATTAGGAATGATGATAAAAGCATCCATTCCTAATCACCCGGCTGAGACTCCAATTTATTGGTGGGGACTAGAACCTGCTGGAAACCGGGTCCAGCATCCTTTATACAGAGTAAGGGATTCCAAACATTACAGATTGTTCAGAGCAACAGGGGACAGAATCGACACTTCAATCTTATTGAGACCGCCAGATGGAGCATAGATAACTAGCAATTATATCCCTTAAGCA